TATGACGGTGTTGTATTTACATCAATTCTCGCACATGCTTTCAAATTGAGGTGAAAGTTCTGCTTTGTCCACCTGGTGCCTTTAACAGCTGCTACTGTCTATTAAGCTGTACATCTCTACAAACAGAAATTGATCTCAAATTGTTTTTGTCACCTATTGGATTTCCATCTCTGCTTGACATAGAATGCATGACAAATATGTTGTCAAACTTTGAGGTAACAGTGACCCCCCACCCCCAATGGCTGCTGAGATTGCTTTGTGAGATAGCTGGCACACTGAGCCTTTTACTGCCAATTACATTTGGACAAAACTGACATTGTTAAAGAGTCATTACAGCCACCATGATCACTTCAGCGACATAAAACACCGCACATAATGAATTGGGCAGCCCAAAACTCTGTTGCTTTTATTTTCAGGTTTTACAAGGAATTGAGAAGGGGGCACTTTTCCACAATGCGCAATAGGGCATATTACATTGAAAGGTGCTTCCTATCAAAGGTGTTACAGTAACCTTTTAACCCCTTAAGGACCAAACTTCTGGAATAAAAGGGAATCATGACATGTCACACATGTCATGTGTCCTTAAGGGGTTAAAGGAACACTCCAATGCAAACATTTTTTATTTTATTTTTTTCAACAGTTTAGTAGATATAGACTAATGAAAACAGGTATGCATTTAATAGTGCATTTTTCATTGAGAATATATATTAAAACAGCTTGCAAAACCTGCAGCTCTATTGTCTGCAGCCTGTGCAAACCCTCCCCTTCTAGCCCCGCCCACACTGCCTGTGTCTGTCCAATCACAGACTTCCTAATGCAGCTCAATGAGAGGTATTTGCAATTCAGGCGCTCTGAGCACCTCTTGAGTTTAGCTCCAATGAGCCTACCAAACCAGGAAATACATTGACTGGTTGTTTGATTGTAAGCCAGGGGTGTGTAACAAGGTTAATTTATAAATTTGTCAATTTCTAATGAAATCTGCGCTTTTTGTAAAATGACAAAATAAGGACACACTCTTCATATATAAAACGTTTCTTTAAGCTAATATGCTTTTGGGGTGTTGAGTGTCCCTTTAATGCAGAGTGTTAATACACAGAGAAAGTGTTTTGATATGCTTGGTTGTATAGGGAGAGGTATTAGCAGTAGAAAGAGGGAAGTGCTCATGCCATTGTACAGAACACTGGTGAGACCTCACATGGAGTATTGTACACAGTACTGGAGACCATATCTTCAGAAGGATATTGATACATTAGAGAGGGTTCAGGGAAGGGCTACTAAACTGGTTCATGGATTGCAGGATAAAACTTACAAGGAAAGGTTAAAGGTTCTTAACATGTATAGCTTGGAGGAACGACGAGACGGGGGGATATGATAGAAACATTTAAATACATAAAGGGAATCAACACAGTAAAGGAGGAGACTATATTTAAAAGAAGAAAAACTACCACAACAAGAGCACATAGTCTTAAATTAAAGGGGCAAAGGTTTAAAAATAATATCAGAAAGTATTACTTTACTGAGAGGGTAGTGGATGCATGGAATAGCCTTCCAGCTGAAGTGGTAGATGTTAACACAGTGAGGGAGTTTAAGCATGTGTAGGATAGGCATAAGGCTATCCTAACTATAAGATAAGGCCAGGGACTAATGAAAGTATTTCGAAATATTGGGCAGACTAGATGGGCTGAATGGTTCCTTATCTGCCGTCACATTCTATGTTTCTATGATATTTGTTTGAGGCTTATCGATTACAGATGCTAACGAATTCTGTATTTTAACTTGATGCTGATTAGAGTAAGAGTGAATACAATTGTCTTTGTCAATGTAAGTGTTTATTTTCTGAATTTAGCTCTGTGTGATATGCTAAATCCACTATAAATATTTTTTTTAATAATATTACATGCATTCCAACTGTCCCACTTTTGGCAGGACAGTCCAGATTTTGAGATCCTATCCCCCTGACCCACTTTTGTTGCATGGTGTCCCTCATCCAGGGACACCAGTGAACTGTCCACGTTCAACACAGCCTCATTAGACCTGTGTCCTATGTGCAGGGCCGGACTGGGAAGAAAAATCCCCCCAGGCATTTTTTTATTACAGCGACCCTCTGAAAAGGGGGCCGGGCCAGATAGGGTGTGTTTTGTCATCACCAATGACAAGCACGCCTCATAACATGTTGGTTCAATGCTCTTCCAGGGCAGACCATGCGCAGAGCTCTGCTGAAGACCTCTAGAATGAGGAAAAGGCCCTGTATTTGTTCTGTACAGCGCAAGCAAACTAAATAACATGCTTTCGTTGTGTTTGCTTGAAATTTGTCTCTGGTGTATTCATAGATACCAGGAGACAAAAATGCCAGGAAAGAATTTTGTGAAGTGTGTGTGTGAGTGAGGGTGCTGTGTGTGAGTGAGGGTGCAGTGTGTGTGAGGATGCTGTGTGAGTGAGGGTGCTGTGAATGGCAGGCGTGCAGTGTGTGAGTGAGGGTGCTATGAGTGTCAGGGGTGCAGTGTGTGTGTGAGTGAGATGCTGAGTGTCAGGGGTGCAGTGTGTGTGAGTGAGGGTGCTGTGAGTGTTAGGGGTGTAGGGTATGTGTGTGTGAGTGAGGGTGCTGTGAGTGTCAGGGGTGCAACGTGTGTGTGTGTGTGTGTGTGTGAGGGTGCTGTGAGTGTCAGGGGTGCAATGTGTGTGTGTGTGTGTGTGTGTGTGAGGGGTGCTGTGATTGTGAGGGTGCAATGTGTGTGTGTGTGTGTGTGTGTGTGTGTGAGTGAGGGTGCTGTGAGTGTCAGGGGTGCAGTGTATGTGAGTGAGGGTGCTGTGAGTGTCAGGGGTGCAGTGTGTGTGTGTGTGAGTGAGGGTGCTGTGAGTGTCAGGGGTGCAGTGTATGTGAGTGAAGGTGCTCTGAGTGTCAGGGGTGCAGTGTGTGTGTGAGTAAGGGTGCTGTGAGTGTCGGGGTGCAGTGTGTGTGAGTGAGGGTGCTGTGAGTGTCAGGGGTGCAGTGTGTGTGAGTGAGGGTGCTCTGAGTGTCAGGGGTGCAGTGTGAGTGAGGGTGCTGTGAGTGTCAGGGGTACAGTGTGTGTGTGTGAGTAAGGGTGCTGTGTGTGAGTGAACATGCTATGTGTGAGGGTGCTGTGAGTGTCAGGGGTGCAGTGTGTGAGTGAGTGAGGGTGCTGTGAGTGTCAAGGGTGCAATGTGTGTGAGTGAGGGTGGTGTGAGTGTCAGGGGTGCAGTGTGTGTGTGTATGTTTGGAGGGCCTGTGTGTTTGGGGGCAAATTATTATCAATATATATTAATTAAAAATTAAAAAAATATTAGTAAGCATTTATTGTATCCCCCCTCCTTTCTTTCCTTATGCCTAGGAGGGGGAACCGTGCTGTCATCCCTGGTGGTCCTAGTGGTGAGTGAACTCTAGCCTGTGGGGCTAGAGTTTACTCTCGCAAGACCGCTCTGGATCTCGCGAGAGGAAGTTGCAATATAGAGTTCCTGGCGGAGCTGCAATATAGAGCTCCTCTCTTGTCTCCCTCCCTCCCAGACGGCGCCTGCATGTAACTGCCTGTGGGCCGTTGAGGGAGATCTTTCATCTCCCCACTGGCCCATGAGGGCACACAGTAGGGCTTGCGCTCAGATAGCGCGGGCCTTGCATGGATCGGCCGAGGAGATCCTGTGATCTCCCCTGCCGGCCTCGGCCCAAGGACATCACGGAAGAATGGCCAGTCCGGGCTTGCCTATGTGGACCCTGATAAAACTTGGTGGAGAACTGAATTTGTTTTGAATTTCCAGTTTAAGGACAAAATAGTCGAACTGCATGTATAACTGAATTTTCCCAATTTGACTATTTTGGCCTGAAATTTGAAATACAATTCTCACGTTTGTGAATAACCCTGTGAAATCAAAAGTCATTATATCCTAAAAATTCTGTCCACACTGTAAATAAATAAATTGAAAAGATACTAAAAGAATCTGCGGAATAGTGGTAACGTCATTTACATGGGAAACTTTATTGCAAAGCCTCGACAGATGTAAATACTATGACTAATACAGGGTGGGCCACAATTCACAGGATTTGACAGGTAAAAAAAGTATTTGTTAGTAGTTAAAAAAAATTTTGTTGCAGGTACATAAATTCATCATGGGTGATTTGATGAAGGAACAACATGTAAAAATAGTGGAATATAATTGGTCTGAGATATTTGGATATGATTGCAATTTGTTTTAAATGCTGAAGTGGAAAATCCTCCTGACGTGATTTCAGCAGGACTGGGCTACTACTCATGCAGCCAGGGCCACATTGGACCTCCTGAAACAACTGTTGGGCTAGCAGATAATTTCAAGAAATTCCCATATTAATTAGCCGCCACATTCACCTGATCTTTCAGCTCCCGATTACTTCCTGTGGGGATATCGGAAGGAGCGCTGTACGCGAACAAACCGCGTATACTTAGGTAGCTAAAAGAGCGCTTGAGCTTCAAACATTTACGTTATGAACAATGCAATCGAAAGATCGCAACCCTGCGAGGCGGCAAGTGGAGCTCGTTTTAAAAATTTCATCTTCCGTACCTCGTCAAATAAATCTCCACACATTAATCATTCATTGTATGTAATATCATTGCAATTGGTTCATTAATAAAATTTAAAAAAAAGTGATTGACTCCTCAAACCTTACTCTGAATTTCGGCCTACCCTGTAATGATACAAGATTATAAAATACAGATATTAGTATTTTAATTACTGTATACGATTCTGAGAGATGTTCAATTTATATTGCCTTTCATTTCATCACTTACAAGATAGGGGCTGCACTAGGACCCTGTTGAGTTAAATTCTCTCCTCCAATTTTTGGAATAGCCCCAACTCTCCTCCCTGTTTTCCTTTAGTTCCCTAAAAATAATCCTTTATTTTATTTTCCAAATTTTTAATTGCCAGGAGTGTTATTCCCATCAAGGCACACAGTGCACATTCTGCAAAAGTTATTGTGCCCTTTTAAAAATCTGTGTTTTTTTTTAATTCTATGCACAACACCTTCCAGGTCTCCTCCCACCCTATCACATATCCTCAGACAGCTAAATTCTGAGCCCGAAGCCCCACATTCCACGTTAACAAAAATTCCTTTATAACCAGGGTTTTGGCACACAATGAAGGAACAGTTGAGAGGACTCTGCAGCAGGAGAGTACAGTGGGACTGCAGCGCAGCCAGCAAAATGATCTTCAAAAGTCTAATACTTTGGGTGCAGTTTTTAATCCTTTATGTGTCCTGTGATTCAGGACCCCTGGAAGATGTTGTCATAGACCGTTATGACATTCCCAAAATATGTCCCAGAGAAGCACAAATTGGAGATTTTGTCAGATATCATTACAACGGGACTTTTAAAGATGGTCAGAAATTTGACTCCAGGTATTTCCTTATTATTTTATTTATTTATGTATTCTCATGCAAGTACTGTTTTTTTAAATGTAAAAATATTTATTTCAACACTGTAGAACATTTATTTTTGATCAAAAATGATGGTTGCTTGAAAAGGTTTATAACTTTATGCCATTGGCTGTTTTATGCACTCAAACGTTAATGATGACAAATCACTTTTATTTATATATAATATAATTTTTTTTTTTAAGTTACATTAAAATAGCAGCTTTGGGGATGAAAGAACTACTTCTATAATGATGTGATTTGCATTGATTTAATTTTGGTTTTCCGCCACCTTTGCTCAATAATTTTGTGTTACTCTTAATTAACCACTATGTAAAAAAAAAAAATATAAAAATAAAATAGTTTTTGTTTTGTTATTCTTCAGTTTCATTAGTAGGTAGGAATACTGGATTGTTTCAAGTTGGTATGATGCATTTTCTGTATAATGACAGAGAAATTAAATAACTCCATCCCCTCCCCCTTCCAAAAAAAAAATGCAATTTTTATATTACTGAATTTTTTTTTATTTTTTTTTAACCTTTTTATAAGATCTATTTAACAGTTAAGATAAAGATAGGTGGGGTATGATTTTTATTCATTTTATAAACTATACTATACTATCAGATGTGGTGTGTGGTTTTTTTTTTGTTTTTTGTTTTTTTTAATATACCTTTTATTGTATATTTCTTTTTTAATGGAAGCCATTCCATTCAGAGAATCTTTCAAGAGGAAAGTATATACAGATCTTCCAATCAAAAACGATTGTATATTTATCTTTAAAAAGCACAACCATGCACAACTGTAGTTAGTTAAGGATAAAGTGCTACAGTTGATACATAGTTCCTTCTTTCCTAATCACAGTTACACTTTATTTTTTTGAGGAACAAGCCTTTGCTACCTTATCTCATTCTCCCCAAGTTGTGTAACAATGAATATAGATTTGAAATATACTGTTCCATATTAAATCTGCATTTTAACCGAATATGGTTAATTCAAATCGTAATCCACAAGTACACCATGTTTTCTAAGACACGTCACTTCCTGTTGGGTGATGCATGAAAAGTGTCTCCCTGCACTGTGTAGAATTGTATATTTGATACAGAGCATGGTAGCCCTTTTCGTGTAAACCCAACAGTGTATAGGAAACTTTAAATACCCCTCACCCTCCCCCCCCAATAAACCATGGTGGATCTGAAAGCCTAACTGGGATGCAAAAAATGTAGTTCAATTAACTATTCTGCATGTTTTATTTTAATTGTGTTTAATAAATGAATTCTGCCAATGCATAAGCATTAAGGCAAGAATAAAATGAGAATATAGGTGATGGGAGCCTGAATTATTATTATTTATATAGCGCCATCAGATTCCGAAGCGCTGTACAATGGGTGGACTAACATACATGTAATTGTAACCAGACAACTGGATGTAGAGCGTATGAATGTGGGACAGCTAGTGAGTGAATGAATGAAAAAGCAAACTGGGAAGTAAACTGGATAATTGAATTGAGATAAAATAATATATATATATATTTTTAAGTGTTTTACGATTTATGTATTTTTCATTCCCCCTCCCCCTCCCCATGGGTTCTCCAGTCACTTTTGATGCAGGGTACATGAGGGTCCTATAGTATGATCTGGGGCCTGTACTGACTGAAAGCCAGTGCAGTTACTAAAGGGGGTGTGTGTTGGGGGTGGGAGTCAGGCCCTCTGTTTGTAGACGTGGCTGGTCCAAGATGTGTCTTCTGCAGCTCCCAGAAAATGGTGTCTTATTATACAGGAGTTTGTGCTGTAGGGCGTTTAACTTCTCAACATCACATTACATCATCTGTTTTGTTTGTAAATATATGTACACATATTAAAATGAATAAAAATAAGCAATCATATAAAAATTTAACTTTTTTTTATTTTTTGTTAAAACATGATTTTTTTTGATTTTTTTTTTATTTTAATTTTTTTTAATTGTGACCACCTACAGGGAATAGAGCACACACATGTGCCGGATCATATTACAACACAAAATACTATAAGTAAGGATTCAGCAAATTATGACCAGCGGCATTTCATTACTTGAGTATAATCTGGTCCCTTAAGACATTATACCCTTATGGAATGTTCTACATTTTTAGAATAAGCCATTAAAGTAACGCATTGGGCTGTCCAACTTTAGGCTGAGACTGCTCGCATTAGAGAAGCCAGCAAGCTGTAGTGGTTATGGTACTTAGACTGCCTCTTTGAAGGGGAAGAATCATTTCCCTTGATATTTAACAATAGGTTTATTTACTACAGTGTGAATTCTTAGTGAAATTCAAATTCAATGTAAGAATAGCTAACTCAGAAAAAAGTCTCTAAGTTAGCTATTCTTTCAGTTACTTTGGTCTTAAAATTGAAATTTTCTTTGAATTCTCACTTGAGTGAATAACCCTGTAAAAAAATCAACCTATTTATCTTGCTAATGGGCACTTCCATCTTGGCTTGCTATAAACTCTGTTCTTTGCATCTGGCAGTTCTTTGAGAAAGCATACATAGAATGTGAGTAGAAATGAAACAATGTTACAATTTCTTCTCCTCATTTACAATGTGTGCCTTGACTGTGCCAGGCCCGAATTGGATTAAGCTGTAACTTGCTAAATGTACATATGGAAAAGGGGAGGGGGGGGGGAGAATATGGGATGATATCTCACTTTAAACCATTTGGTTCACAAAATATAAATATTTCCCCAGTGACCATACTACTATACTACAGTAATCTGGTCTCCAGATGCAATTTTCTCATGGTTAATGCAATATGTCAGCGTTCAAACATACAATGAATCTGTGCCCTGCAATCTCTATGACCGAGTGTTTGAAAACCTCATTATAAAAGAATCCCAAAGCTGGGAGTGTCAACGTGTAAAAACCTGCACATGTATTGAAATATACCCAGAGGATATTACAAGCTCTGTCTTGGGATGGATACAGCTTGGGGGGGTGAAGTAATAATAGGTCATGGATTTCTAATCTTATTCAAGATGACCAATGACATTGTCCAGCTCAAACATGCTTGCTGGGGCCTGTGGGCTTTTTTTTTTTTAATTTTTATTTTATTTTTTACAGGATATGAACAGTGGATTTTAGAATGCATGGATTTAACTCTTCATTACAAAGTTTTGTGATGCACATATTAATGCAGTTACTGTATTCTCTTTACTGCCCATAGCTACGATAGAGGATTGGCAGTTGCTGGATTTGTTGGTGTCGGAAGGCTGATCACGGGACTGGACAGGGGGATTCTGGGTATGTGCGTGAACGAGAGACGAAAATTGATCGTACCGCCACACTTGGGATATGGCAGCATAGGAGTGGGTAAGTACCTCTTTCCCTGTTGACCCAAATCATGATGGGTTTTATTCCCTAAATTGGACATTGAAGTTATTTAATTTTTTATTTATATTTTTTTCCTGTCCATTTTGGCTAAAATCTGAAAATTCACTTGATAATATGTGCAGTTCCATCTTTAAGCCTTCACGTTGTCGTTGTACGGTTTGTTGTTGCTTCCGTTGCATAGAAGTCCTCTTATATCTCCATAGTGATAATGTGTTAAGGACACCATATTTCCTCTAGCAATGTAAATGTTTAGTCTATATATGCTCTACATAGCCTTATCCTAAAACCTGTTCTTTCACTACCTTTTAAAATTGTGTGGTCTATTTACTAGCATGAAGTGGAAGGATTAAGACCAAAATGTACTGCTCTACAGAATTGACTCGAACCATTCTTACCTGTTCCTTTTTATCTTTCTCTAGCTGGGATGATCCCCGCTGATGCCACGTTATTCTTTGACATTATCTTGGTTGACATATGGAACAAGAATGACGAGGTGCAAACTACAACCCTAGAAAAGCCCAACGACTGCAACAGGACCGTGCAGGACTCTGACTTTGTGAGATATCATTATAATGGCACTCTTTTGGATGGAACATTCTTTGACTCCAGGTAACCATGAACTAAATTAGCTCGGCCACCTCACATCTTTATGGAGTGCTCACATTTACTGTTATGGAATTTCATTGAATTCTATTGCAACCCAAGGATATCCTATGATAAAGTAGAAATTACTTTGTCTTATGGTAAAGACCAAGTTTGACAAATTAAGAGAGGCTGAGCATCTGCCGTCAAGCTTCGTCTATTACCCCAGCTCCTTGTTATCAATGGATTTGGGAATCCGACATCGTCTCAAAAGACTTAATCCAGGGAAGCTCCCACGGTGTTAAGGGATCATTCATAGGCAACAGTGTTCTATTCTCTGATGTATCCCCAGGCCTCTGCACCCCAAGCATTGATGTCACCTTAGGGGGTCTTTGCAGAATACGCAAAGAACCTTGAAGGTGACAGAACCACTTTAGAGTACGTCATTCAAGGTATGGGACGACCCTAAATTCTAATGGGTCATCACTACGCCAGGGGCAGTTTTACCATACACAACAAGGTCATCTTTCTTCTCTGTAAATCTAAAGTCATTCAGGAGAATTCTAATAGCCAACATATACAGATACTCTCTAATGATGCGTTTCGTGTATTAGCTTTTGGCATCACTATGTAATGAATTTATTTTAGAACACACGTATAAATCAATTATAGAATGATGGAGAGTTGCCTTCGAAGATGCACTATTTCAAGTCTTGCTTGGAAAAAGGTCAGGAAAAACTGTGTAGTGTTATTTGCATACTTCAAAAGTTAACTGTAAATCCAAACCTATATTTGGCTGCTTGCAGTCTGATGGCTGAAAAGTCTAAAATGAAATTAATGTTGTAATAGAATCAAACCCATTGGCTTTGCAACAGGATGTGAGCTGGTAAAAAAAAATTTGCCTTTTGTTTTTTTTGCAGTTACAGTAGATCATCTACGTATAATACGTACGTGGGGTCAGGTTGGCTGATTAAAGGCATGGATCAAGGTTTGATTGGAATGTGCCCTGGAGAGAGAAGGAAAATCATTGTTCCACCATTCCTAGGTTACGGAGAAAAGGGATACGGTAACTATTAGAAGAATATTTTAGCCCACACAAGCTAGACTTTCAAACTGAACTCTTGACTGAGTTCATATTCAAATCTTCAAAAAAGACTTGAGTGCACATCCCTAAATTAGCCGATGTGCAGAAATGCCTGCCTCACCAACATTTTGTGACTTGGTCCTCCAGGTACAGTGAGATCGTGTGTCTTTCTATCCCATAATCTAGGATCGAAAGACACATATTTAAAGCCTTATTGTTGACATGTTGACTGTTCTTCAAGATTGTGTCTCTGCTTGTTCGCAGGAACGGTCATACCACCACAGTCCACTCTGGTGTTTCATGTCATACTGATAGACGTTCACAACCCCAAAGATGGGATCACTCTTAAGAACCAGGTCGTTCCCAAGATTTGTAATCGTAAGGCCGTCACAGGAGATTATGTCCGCTATCATTACAATGGCACACTTATGGATGGAGTATTATTTGATTCCAGGTAAGTGAGACCACAACATTACACCCATCTGTAAATTCCTTCAAGTGAAGGTTCTAAAATGGTGTAAATTTTTGTGGTTTTAGAATTGAGGAATTTTACGTGTATACATGCTGGTTTGTCTTCAGTGGGTTTTGAGAACTGTGGTCTTCCCATACGATTCAATTCTGTTACAAAAACTTTTCAGATTTATCTACAAAAGTCACCATTCAAGTCTCTACGAGGATTTTTCTAGAAAAATCATTGGAGTTTTGAATCTGTTAGAAAACTTATCAAAGCGAGGCTTATGTCCACAATTGGGGAAATGGAGCGGGAAATGACTTGTATGTGCAACTATGACAAATGTATTCTCTGGTTGGTTTTGTAGTTATTCCAGGAACAGTACATATAACACCTATATCGGCATGGGGTACATCATTCAAGGGATGGATGCAGGTCTACAAGGTGTCTGTATAGGGGAGAAGAGAAGAATTATTATCCCACCACACTTGGGATATGGGGAGACTGGTGTAGGTAAGATAATTTGAATGATCATCTTATAATTATTTTTGTATTTGTGTGGGGCATATAAAATGGAAATTGTAATGGTAGACAAAACCCAAGTAGCTCATTTAATCGACATGTTTTTAGTCCAAAAATCTTAGACTTTATTTAGTTTCCTATCTCAGGATATTTTGCACACACTATTTCCATAATTTGGTAGAAGATATTGCAGAGAGAATTACTACTTCAATGATATGATTTAAGCCTTTCATGAAAAGGTGTACGTATTTCTGGAATTTCATATCAAATCTCCATAGATAAATTGACAAACAAATTCTGTACTTTGCTAATAGGTACACTATATTTTATGGTTTTTTTTGGGGGGGTTTTTTTCCTCTTGATTTTAATATGAAATGAAAAGACCCCTTTTCACAAGACTCTGAATCCTATCATTTGAGTAGTCCTTTATCTTTTTGGTGTTTTTATGGTAGAAGAGACACTATTTCCACTCCTTCTACAAAGAGCACAACTCAAATTATCCAACCACCTCCTGATTTTTGTGAATAAAAATGTACTACTATGAAACTTTGCAAAATCCACATACTTTAGACGACAAACTTTTATCTTCTATCAGCTAACAGTATTCCTGGATCAGCAGTGTTGGTTTTTGATGTTCACATTATCGATTTCCACAATCCAAAGGACTCTGTGGAGATAGAGGTCACGTACAAACCAGAAGTGTGCAATATTACCTCCAAAAAGGGGGACTACATTAAGTATCATTACAACTGCTCTCTTTTGGATGGGACTCTGCTCTTCTCATCGTGAGTATCTGATATGTCTTGTCTTGTCTGTCTTCCCATCCAACCAAAGCTTTTTAATCCGTCCTCGCACACTACTGTTACACGTCAACTTCTCAGTTGTCTTTGAATCCATCCACACGTCATGTCCATCTGAAGTCCAGATGTGCAGCTTACCATTTCGTTGGCCATTTAGTTATTTTGAGGACCATCTGGTGTCAAGTTAAGCCGTTTACTGCATTCTAGGTTCCTAATAGGGGCAGACTGTGAGGAAACCATACACCATGGAAAGTGGAGCAATTTGCTTCACCTGGTCACTGTGACAAAAGGCTAGAACTTTAAATCTTTATGTTTACTAGAGGTACACTTTGTATGCATCACTTCACGCATGCCAGTCTTTGGTTTGTTCTTTTGTTTTTAAAAGGTTAACACCTTGTCAAATGGTGATGCACCATGACATTATATACATGCGATAATGTATATTGTTTGCAAAACTATGAAGAAGAAAAAAAAAGGGGTGATATTGAGCGTTGCACCATGCATTTTCTTGAGATAATTGCCGATGGGCACGGGTTAAGTAGACCAAAAATACAGGCATCTAGGTCAGTATTCTGAAACCTCCCTACACTCTTAATCCTTCATTTTACCAATTACCACTGAAAGACGTTTATGTATATTTTCGATCCAAGGAAATATATTGTGTATTTGTTTCAAAGTTATGGATCTGATGAACCAAGTGATCCCTAATGGATATTTATTTTTTTGTATTTCAGGCACGACCATGATAATATGCAGCAAGTTACCCTTGGGAGAAACAAAGTTATTGACGGTCTAGACACTGGTCTACAGGGAATGTGCGTTGGAGAGCGAAGGACCGTCCGTGTCCCTCCACACTTGGCACACGGCGAAAGTGGAGGTGTGGGCACTATAAATCTAAACCTATCATTTAACAAGGAAACAAGGGAACATGAGGCTGGGCTTTACTCCATATTTAGTCCCCCTTTCTCCATACTGTCTGTAAAAGTACAGTCACTGTGTGAAGAAATAGATCGTTAAAGGAGAGAGAAACCATAATAGGGATATTTATCAAAGAGTGTCATTTTGATCGAATAGTGGCACAGGTGATTCGGGGATTGAGGGGTTAAACGTAGTCTGAACGTAGTAGCCCACTCTTCTCACCCAGTGTCACTGTAGTGACAACACCCCCAACTCCTCGATAATCAACTAATGAGGTCTGACGTTTCGGTTTAAACTTTCTAACCAAAACGTCTAAGTACAGTCCGAATAAAATAAATAAAGAGGGTGGCTATACTAAGCGGAAAGTCACAGCTGCAGCATCGTCCCTGTCCCTATTTTAGTGGAGGGTGGAGGTGTTGGACAGGGACGATGCTGCAGCTGTGACTTTCCGCTTAGTATAGCCACCCTCTTTATTTATCTTATTCGAACTGTACTTAGACGTTTTGGTTAGAAAGTTTAAACCGAAACGTCAGACCTCATTAGTTGATTATCGAGGAGTTGGGGGCGTTTGTCACTACGGTGATACTGGGTTACTACGTTCAGACCACGCTTTAATCCCCCAATCCCCGCATCACCTGTGCCACTATTCGATCAAAGTGACACTCTTTGATAAATATCCATATTATGGTTTCTCTCTCCTCTAACGATCTCTTTCTTCACACAGTGACTGTGCTTTTTTCGTTTTTAAATATTTTATTAAGTTTATATTTTATCAGATTATGGGTTGCTGAAATTGTACTAGTAACCTGTAGGTTTAATACCTAGATTTGTTTTCTTGTACCTCTTCTTTTTAGTTAGTTATCTTTTGTTAGAGCAACAGGAGAGGCTGCTGACTTTGAAGTCCTCATTACTTAAGACTTGTGTCCAAACAGGTGAATTTGATAAGAAGCACTTGGGGGGCCTGTGTGGCAATTCCAGTGACCTGCCTATCCAATGTATTGAATCCAATGCATCTCTATGACAAACACTCATGACTGCTTAAAAGCCAGTTGTTGTTAAGTGCAGATTTACTTTGAAATCGGTTACATTGTTAAAATAAGGCAGAAGGGACCTGAAGCTTACATCTAATGCACTTCAGCAAGCTAAACTTTTCCAAACTCCCCCACTTCAATCAAGTTACATTGCCTTGCTACATTCTTCTTAAAATGTATTTAGTTAAAAATAAGGTCGCATAAATTACCATCAAGATGCAAGGCTATAGTAAATACTATTTGCCTAGACTTGTTAGCTCCATTAAAAAAGGAAAAATCTGCTACTGCAGGAGCTATTATTAAAGACAGCAACCAGTCTATTTTGAAACTGTCTATAGAACAGGAAAGGAAACTAATAGTGTCCTTGAGATGTGTTTTAACATCTATGGCGTATGTAATTATGATAAGATTCTCACTGCGAATATTGAGAGAACCAAAGACAATCTGATCTCATTCTGATAAAAGGAAACATGATGCATTGTATCTAATGTTAAGACTGTATAATTAAAGGGACACAATAGTCACCAAAACAACTTCAGCTTAACGAGGCAGTTTTGGTGTATCGATCACGCCCCTGCAGTTTCACTGCTCAGTTCTCTGCCATTTAGGAGTTAAATCACACTGTTTATGCTGCCCAAGGCGCACCTCCCTACATGTGACTTACACAGCCTTCCTGTAAAGAGTCATCTAATGTTTACACTTCCTTTATTGGAAATTCTGTTTTTAATTTAGAATTTATCTCCTGCTCTGTTACTAGCTTGCTAGACCTTTCAGGAGCATTCTGTATACAAATAAAGTTCAATTTACAGAGCAGGAAATAAACTTATTAAACCAAGTTACATCTGATTGAAGAAAAAACATTTTTTTTCACGCAGGCTGTGTCTGTCACAGCCAGGGGAGGTGTGGCTAGGGCAGCATGGACAGACACAAGTGATTTAACTCCTAAATGGCAGATAATTGAGCAGTGAAACTGCAGGGGCATGATCTATACACTAACACAGCTTCATTAAGCTAAAGATGTTTTGGTGAATATAGCATCCCTTTTAAGCAGATTTATTTTCTTCATTTTGCTTCCATTCTGATTGGCTAGTGTTCACTTTACTTTAAAAAAAATAAAATGGTTTTCTGTATTGAATGAACAAAGGTTTGGGGAGTACCCTGCACCTATTCTCTAAGTTTATTGGCTTGCAATTGCAGCAGTCTGTAAAAGCCAGTCCCCTGGCTCTGACACTGCACAGAAGAAATTAAAACATTTCCTCTTACGGTGTCAATCTTACACCAGAATCTGCTTGTGGACACTATATGCATACATAGAAAGAATTGTTCTTGTTTGCATACGTGGTCAGTGTCTCATTTAATCACTGCAACAACCTGGTTAGAAAAAACGGAATGACTGTCTCATCGTATAGCGAGGGAACTGTGGTTGGGGCATAAACTACTTATCATTTAAATTCCTCCTGATATGGAGCACCGTTACGGTCAGGGAGGTGTCTGTTTGTAGCTACAGACAACTTTGCTCAACTGTGCAGCTGCAGGAACAAAAGTGAATATTTATGTAGATCTAATTTTATTTTTATATAATGCATACAAAATATGACACTGACATTTCTTTTCCGATCAGCTTTGTATTTTAAAAAGTAAAATGGCATTTCATCAAAATGTCAAGGGACATTTAATATAACTTTTACTGTTCTAAAAGGTATTATGTAAAAGTTATGAAATTCTATTCATAAATCCCTTAAAGTCCAACTGGAAACATATTGTAACTTTAAATGTTTTTTTTGTTTTTTTACAATTTCAAACTTTTAAAAGCTAAAAACTTACATTTCTGCTACTCTGACTCTCAAAGTGTGTGTGCGTGTTCTGTAATCTTAACGTCTTAATGTTAATTTTAGCTCGTGGAGTACCATCAAGTGCTGTGCTACATTTCGAACTGGAACTGCTCCATTTGGAAGAAGGTGTCCCAGAAGGATATCTGTTTATCTGGTTGGAAGACACTCCTGATAACCTTTTTGAAGCTATGGACCTGGACAAGAATGAAGAGGTTCCTTTGGAAGAGGTATTTTAACGAACCTTCATATGAAATTTCTCATCAGACTGCACGAATTGCATTCAAGTCATCATTTCCAATGTACAAATTGCCAAGTCTAATGGGTCATCTTAGCCATGATAAGAACTGTACCGAGATTGGGGCGAGGTGGGGATGGATTTGTACAGTAATTCAGTTTAGCGAGTAAACCTTGTGAATTGCAATTTCTAATGTCAATACTTTACCAAGCTTTTTGTGCTTTCATTTCTAGTTCTCTACCTTTCTCAAGACTCAAGCTTCCGAAGGGAAGGGACGTTTCGTGCCAGGAGTGGAACCTGATCAGTCCATTGAAGATATGTTTGTAAATCAGGACAGAAATAAGGATGGGAAGATAACTCCAGATGAGCTGAAACTGAAGAACGATGAAGATGCAGGGAATGTTCATGAAGAACTTTAGACTGCTTTGGACTGATTGAGTAAGGAGGCCCCTTGAAGCCTAAGAAAGTCAGCCTAGTTGATGATGCGTCCAACTGAACCATGGTGCCTTATTCATGCTAAAGCTCTGCACTGGGCTGGCTTCTGTTGCTGCTCCACCTTATTACAGAAAGTGTGAAATGCACCATTTTTTTTTTTACTTGTGTTGCATCCACTGGCTGTGAACAGGAGGACATGGCAGCTATACAGAATATTATCCACTACGGTGGAGAAAACATGCTCCAAAATTTTCTTTACAAATTAGGAAAGTGCTTGTGGCTTGCGTTATTCATTTAGCAACTCAATCAAATTTTTATTTTTAAAATATTTTTACCAATACCCACCTGGTTTTGTGCCCACACTTTTTTTTTATTTTATTTTCTAAAAAGTAAAACATTTTACTTTGTTTAAATTTTTTATTGTCATTAAATCCTCTAATTTAATTGACCTGTAGTGGTAATTAATCACTACAGTTGAATTTATCATCACTCACAAATTTCGTATGGTAAAACACTGGTGTTCTCCACCTTTCAACCGTGTCTACTATTTAATTCAGTCATCATTTTTGATTGAACCAAAAACACAGTTCTACTTTTTTTCTCACGAGAGGATGTAAATGTTTTTTTCAGTTGTAAGAAATGGGAATTTCCGTTAATAAAAACACATTTTTTGAATATTTGGTTTTGTGTTTTTTGTTTTTTTTAAGTTTTTGTATAATGTTCTGTCTGGTGCTCGCTTATTGAAGAGGCACCAATCTCGTAAGAAAATTTCTTTAACTACATAATATCACATAGAACGGATTTTACAGAGCCTGGGAACTCCTCCACCTAAAATGAGCTAGTAGGTAGGGCCGTGTCTTATAAAATGACTCTGGATCGAACACCGAAAGGTATGAAATCAGGACAGGATGGGGAATGGGCTAGTTTAAGGGCAAAAATCACATATTTAGCCCTTTTTATGGTTTTATCCATCCCTCTCTTATTTGCACGCCTTAAATTGCAGCTTCCCCTTTATACAATTTTATTGCCCTTTTTGAGTTTCCATTCTTCACCCATGTCTCTTATCTAATTTCTCTAGACTGAGATTTACTATCCCAATCTAAAGAGATGTAGACACACCTTTGTTGCTTTGGCTTTCTTTTTTACCTGTCTTAAATTCCTATGGACATACAAATTATTAGCATGTTGAGCTGTACCAGTTCTCAGTGGGATGCCCTTGTACATGTTGCAGAAGGCCCTTCATATAATTGGACAACTCATCCAACTACTGCTGGAACTGGACCACACGTTATCATTTGTTGTATTAAAGGGACACTATAGTCACCTGATCAACTTCAGCTTAATGAGGTTGTTCAGGTGAGAACTATAGCTCCCTGCAGCCTCTCTCGTGTAAACACTGTATTTTCTGAGAAAACACCGTGTTTACCTTGGAAGCTAATAACAGCTCCAGTTGCAGTCACTCATAATGCCACCAGAGGGAATTCTAAGTTGATATATGCATAATTCGCATTAGTTTTCACGCTTGGGTGAAGACAAACATGCTATCAGCATACAGGAGATGGGAGGCACTGTGAACGTGCCTCCTGTGTCCAGTAGTAACCCCAAGCCTGTCAGCGATGAAGAGCAGACAGTGTGGGAAATAAGATCTCCTGCACACAGCGTTGGCTCGAGCTGACAGGCTGAAGACCGGAGACAGAGCAGGAGGGGAGGATCACAACTGTACTTAAACTTATTTTTTGTGTGAGTGAGAGAGATATAGATGGGGTGTGTGTATGCTTAATATTTATAGTGTTTGTATACACTAACTTTGGGCTGGAGGGTTGCCATAGGAGGCTGTCAGCTCACCTCACTAATGCGCACATGCGTGGTAGAGCGCTCAGGTCTTTCATAGAGCGGCATTCAATTCCTATTGGGCCCTGCGATTTCATCATTTTGATGAAAAAGGGTGGGGTGTGGCCTGGAGAGGCGCTCGGCGCTGGAACGGATGTAAGTTTATATCATCAAAAGGGCTTGAATTTCATATAAAAGCAAGAAAGAAGGCTGGGGGACCGGTCTTTCTTGCTTTTATATGTTGACTATAGTGATCCTTTTAAACAAGAAAAAAAAATGCCATCCTAACATGTCCCATTTTAGAAGTGTTGCTTCTGTTTCCTGCATAGTATGAAATGAATACCTTGCAGTTCTGAGAAGGAATAATGCAGATACATAAAGCTTGTGAAAATACAAATGAGATTTAAAAAGTAATTTTAAAGGGACACTATAGTCACCAGAACAACTACAGCTTATTTTATTTGTTCTGGTGAGTATGATCATTCCCTTCAGGCTTTTTGCAGTAAGCACTGTCTTTTCAGAGAAAATGCAGTGTTTACATTACAGCCTAGTGATAACTCAACTAGCCAATCCTCAGATGTCTACTAGAGGTGCTTCCTGTGACAGTGATGCAGTGTGTAGTACTGCCAGTCAGTGTATCCACCCTCTGCATTGAGACACTGAACTTTCCTCAGAGATGCATTGATTCAATTTATCTCTGAGGAGATGCTGATTGGCCAGGGCTGTCTCTGCCCCTGATCTGCCTCATTGACAGTCTCAGCCAATTCTATGGGGAAACATTGTGATTGGCTCAGACCACCACTTCTGATGATGTCACCAGGCAGTTTAGAGGCTGAAAGGGGCAGAGCAAGCAGCTGCAGACTTTAATACAAGTAAGATTTTACTATATTTAGGGAGGCAAGGGGGGTTAGTTGGTGGTTTTAACACTATAGAATCAGGAATATATGTTTGTGTTCCTGACCCTATAGTGTTTAACATTTTACAGAGAATTATTGAATGTCTGCTTTTCTTGTACATTTTGATAACTGCAGGTTTATTTCCAGACCATTCTAGTGCAGGGTTAATTGGATATATTACACCCATACATATTGATATCACAAAATTCTATTTTATTTAAGAAAGTGTCTTTGTGGCAAAATCTCTCTCGATCTTGGCACAAACGAAAATATCTCTCAAGATCCTTATACTGATTGTAAGGAAGGAATTTCTGCACAGTCGGGTTTGGTTCTCGTGAAAGAAATTCAATTCTTGGCCATGATGTACTTCAAGATACCATTCACTACATCAAGTGTCTCATCTTGGACCAGTACAATGTCATAAGACTGTAGAAAAAGTTCTGTCTGCTCCTCCACCTACAGGGAGAAAAAGTAGTGGTAAGGATCAGAAGCAGGCCAACTATTCAATACTTACATATAGGTACACAATTCTGGCCCAATTTTATGGTCTGATTCCACCACAGGAAGGGTGGTACGTGCCTTCACAAATCTTGGGGGGCTTATTAATTAGATTTGTGAAGGCAAATCTCTATCTTGTACAGAATTGAAAATGCTAAACTTTTGCCAAGCTGTGACTGTGGAGGAGTTATGAATAAGTAAATTAGATACACACCACCTGAATAGAGTTGTAGCATAAAAACATACAAGGCATGCTGAAGGTAAATAATGCAATTTAGTTTGATTACAGTACAGCTATCCATAAAGGCTAGCTCACTCCTCTGGAATTTGCATAATTCAATTAAACGTTAATCACCTATAGCTTATGTTAACCTCTTTTCATGAGATACTTAGTTTTCTAACACTCCAAGCACCATAACCACTACAGTCTGCTTAAGAACCGTTTGATACCTGGCAGTCAGCACAGAGAATGCATACAGAGAAAAGGGAAAATGATACAAAGCTTTGCTTTGGCTGAACTGTATTATGGTGTCAATTGCATGTTAAAATGGAGCATCACATTAAAAAAGGGTAACAAATGTTAAAGGGACACTCCAGTCTTCATAACAACAAGACCCCCCCCCCCCACCCCCAGTGCACTGTTACCTTAAGGGCTTAAGCAATTTCGAAATGGTTAAACCCCAAAGTGTGCCTCAGGTCCCTCCAGTCGGCACCCTAAGCCAATCAGTAGAACCCCCATTGATAAAAAATAAGGTATGTTTCTCCTTTATCAATGGGGAGCTACTGATTTGCTTGGAACTTCACCTGACGGCTCTAAGCCAATCAGCGGCATCCATGCCTGATGGCACTTTCCCAACTGAGAGTCAGAAGCCAGGTGCCACCTGGGGGACCTGAGGATCGGCACTTTGGAGTTTAACCGTTTGAGAACAGTTTAACCCCTTAAAAAAAAAAGAAATAAAAAAAAGTGCGCCCATTGTCCTCCATTTGGATGAAATTGTTATGGTGACCGGAGTGTCCCTTTAATGCAACAGTCCAAGCACAATAACTACTGCAACCCACTGTAGTGCTTCTAGTGCCAGTAGTACCCTCTCAGGAGCATCATTAGTGAAAATCTCAATTAGAGAAGGAAACATTTCTACAGAGGACTTAGATCACTAAAAGTCGGCACTTTTTTAATATTATTCATTACTTGAATGCTGCATAAATATTAGCCTCAAAAAATGTTTCATCTTCAGAGCCTATACTCACCTTATCATTGAGGAAGCCGATCCTAAGGATGTTATCCAAACTGGCGACTCCATCGGCCATAGTCAAGTCACCCAAGGTATCTCCAAGAAGCAGGATGTTGGTACGGTCTTTGATCTTCTGGAAGTACTCTGTGTCCCTCAGAACTGTATTGTTTTTGTTGTAAGTGTGGATCAATTCACCCTTGAACCCAATCAGGATACCCTAAGGGAAACAAATCGAATGTCAGCAGTGAGCGGCACTGTGATGTTTACCTTGGTCCTCAACAACAACCATCAGGAGATTTCTTCTGACTAAATAATTATCAATATTATTAAACTGGATAATATAACATACAAAAGAATTCCAAGCACCATAACCACTACAGAAGGCTGTACTGGATATGGTACCAGGAATGCCCTGGTTCCACCCCGATATAAGTAGTCAAACAGTTTGCTAGTGCTAACAGTTTGACTTTTTACTTGGGGTCCGCTGAGCGTTAGTCACCTCTTCCATGAGAGCAGGAAGATCTCTGCATTGAGCTAAGTCTGGCGGAGCAGGGCTTAACTCATTGCCTGGAAGAAATCAGCTGACAACTTTAGCCAATCAAACAGAGACAAGTGGTTGCCGGAGCTCTGCTCTGCCATATTAAGTTTGGGCAGAAATAGCCAAAATATGAAAGTTTACCATGTCCAGAAGTGAAGATAGTGTGACAGGTGTATAACCCAAAGCAAAATATTATAAATAACCTATATGAGTTTATATGTATTCAGTTACTGAGAATGGAGGTGTAACAGGGTCAGATGAGATATTTAGAGCACATACTATGTGTGATAAGACAAGAGAAGAGTACGTCAGCAAGTTACTGTTTTTCTAAAAGTCGTTTTCTCCCACAGGTTTGTTTTGTTAGGAGGGGAAATTAGGGACTTTAGGGGTGGAATTGGCCAGTTTTACTGATAGATATGCAGCACTAATATACAAATATTCTACTGTAGTTATATAAAACTGCTCACTTTGTTCTACAGAATTTGATACATTTTATCCAAACCTAGCAGACATTCACACATGAAAGGAACACTAGACATTCACACATTAAACAAACATTATAGTGTTAGGAATACAAAGACGTATTCCTAACACTATTGTGCCATAGTCAGCGTTTAGGTGACCGGGCCAGTACCGCCAGGTTTAGAAAATCTATATATTTTTACCTTTTCTCCTTCGCAGTACTGGTCTGCTCAAGGAAGCTTCATCTCTTAGCTCAGATCATCATTGTTAATGATCTCAGCCAATCCAATGCTTTCCTATAAGAAAGCATTGGGAGTCTAGTGCACATGCGTAGCAAAACGCCTCTCTGAGACCATCTGATGGAAATAGTGGAGTTTTACTCTGCTATTTTTGTGGAAGTGCGTCTAATCGATGTCATATTGACAGGCTCTAGAGCAGGGCTGTTCAGCCTGCGCCCCCCTCCCCCCAGATGTTGCTGAACTACAACTCCCTGATTCCCTGGCTATCTGTTTCATTGAAAGAATCATGGGAGTTGTAGTTCAGCAACATCTAGGGGGCCGCAGGTTGGACAGGCCTGCTCTAGAGGCTGGTTAACCTAGCAAAAAAAAAAACCAAACAAACAATGGTTTCAGCTGCAGGGTAAAAATGGGGTAGACATGGCACCCAGACTACTTCATTAAGATGCCTATTGTCTTCTTTTAAGGAGCTAGGCTACAACACATAGATCATTTCTTTGACATGTATGCCATCCTTAAATCTTTTATTATATAATTTATTCCATCTGTCATTTGCAGATACCACAAATTCCAATGTGGAGCACACACTAACCAAATAAAACATATATCAACACCCGCCATGTGACTTCAAACCATACAGTACACACAACACACCCCATTAGTCACCAATATTAAGCATCATCTACCCAAATCACATACCCAGCACCCATCTCACATATAAATAGTATTCACAAATGTTAATTTCTACAATAGATGCTGTCAACTAATACATTGCAGTCTTACAAACAATTTAACCCCCTATATTCTGCAATCACAAAATGTACTTGCAGTAACTGCACAGGTTCTAAAATTCAACCCATAGAAAAACAGGCAATCCAATGTGTGGAACTGCTACTAACTGGCATGTGTGGACCTCACGTCTTCATTCTTGGTCGACTTATTTTTTTTTTTTTTTTAAATATCCCTTAATACACAGAACAACATGTATTCCGGTTACTCACATTGTCATCAAAGTCCATGTAGTTGGAGACAACTTTGATGTTGGGATAAAAGACGCCGGCTTGACGGATTATCTCCTCAAGAACATCGCCAATACCGGCAGAAAAAATAAACAGAGGTATCTCGCTGCGGTTAAGACTGTCAAAAAACACCTGGAAGCCTTCTCTGAGACAGACAGAGATAAAGTGTTTAGATTTTATAATAATAATAATATTAAATATGAAACTTGCATTATGGTGGCTACAAGACACTAGATAACATTTTGTAAATGAAAACAGAGGAGTGTTGGAGGAAGTAAACTGCGTGGGTTAAAAATGAAAAAGAGAGATTGAAGAATAAAATAAATAAATAAACAAAATCTGAATATTAACAAATTAGTAGAAAGAAAATGAAAGAAAATGAAACAAAACTGAAAAAAATACAGGGAAGCAATATCAATGGAAGGAGCCAGGAGTAATTGCTAGTGGAGCAAACACGAAAGATAATTGCTTGGGCCGAGAACATATGTAATTTAATTAGGGTAGTAATCAGAAGGAATGGTTAAGGAACATAATAGGGTTTTTACACATGGATGTCCGCAGACACATTTCCAGGGTGGTCAAAGCTATAAAGTGTATAGGCACTCTTACTCTTAGGAATATTTAAATCAAGGAAAATCTAAAATCCAGGGGGCGGAGGGGGCACTTGCTTCATCTTCCCACCCATGTTTGTACAGGTCCAAGAACAGACCGTTGTGCTACATTATTGTACACTCTGTACCTCAGCATGGCCTGAGACTCCTGCACGACTTGTGCTAGTTTTTCCTTCGGGATCTTCTGCTCACAGAGGAGAGTGTGTGCTTTACTCCACCTAATAGAGACAAGAAGAAAATATCAAAACTTGAAACAGTGCATTGTTACCAATATATGCATTAACTTAAGACGCCACTTATTTTTGGCACCCACAACACTTCATCTCAATGTCCCGGTAGTTTTGAGCCTGCAGCTGCTTACATGTTTACAGGACAGGGTTTAAATGCCTCTGACAGCAACTAGAGGCGCTTCCATCCAAGCAGAGTAAAACTCAGATTCATAGAAACCATCTGATTGGCACAGTGTGGCATTTTTGCCGCTCATGCGTACAAGCTTTCCAATGCTTTCCTATGGGAAATCCATGGCTTAGATCATCAATGATCTAAACCATAGAGATTAAATCAACCTCGGAGAGAGCAACACAGCGTGGGAGAAAGGGTAGAATTACCTTTTTATGTGCATGGGAAAACACATGTTTGCCCAATGTTTTGCTACAAAAAAAACCAAAAAACGATAGAAGCCACTCATTTACGTACACAATAGCGAAATTCAACAGAACTCACCATGGGTGTACTGAGCAGGTGGATTGGTTCAACTGGAGATATAAAGGTTAACAAGCTATGCATGTGACTGTCATTGGAGAAAAAAATGGAGATTCCTTTTGCAGGGAGCAAGCAGAAATGTATTGATTTAACAAAACCAGAGACGGATGCAGCAGGCCTTGTTCTAAGACTTTTGGGTAAACTATTCAAATGATCAGTGTGTTGGAAAAAAAAACGTTCAAATAATTTATCTACAAAAATTCCCATTAAGGTGACCTCTGTAGATAAATCACTTTTATATCAGATTGGAATAATATGAAAAACTAATTTAAAAAGATTAGATCAAGGATATTCCTTGGAAAAGAGAGAGGTCTGTAACACCCAGAGATAGCTGTCATATTCCAATAGTAGGCTATTGGTGTGAGACCCTAAGTTTCCCTATGGGGCTTAGATTAGCTATGAGCAAATTAAATCACAGAACACAGCTGATTTTTTTTTTTTTTTTTATAAAGTCAGAATTATAGCCTTCTTATAAGTCTTCTTATAGTTCTAAACAAAATAACCTACTAAATGCTTCCAATTGTATCATTGAACAACTGTAATATTTATGAACAGGTTGCAGTTTCAAGCTGAACTGACTTGTTTAAAACCTATGGAAATGTTTAAAGGACCACTATAGTGCCAGGAAAACAAACTAATTTTCCTGGCCTTATAGGGTCATTAGGTGTCTCCCCCCACCATCAGGGCCCCCCCTCCCGCTGGTCTGAAAGGGTTAAAACCCTTAAGCCACTTACCTTTCTCCAGCGCCGGGCTCCCTCGGCGCCTGTGACCTCTCCTCCCCCTGCCGACTTCAGATCCAAAGGCGCGGCAAGAGCCGCGCGCACATTCAAACAGCCCAAAAGAAAGCATTTCTCAATGCTTTCCTATGGACGGCAAGCATCTTCTCACTTCCTATGGACGTGCAGCGTCTTTTCACAGTGAGAATCGCTGAAGCGCCTCTAGCGGCTGTCAGTGAGACAGCCACTATAGGCTGGATTAACCCTCAGTGAAACAAAGCAGTTCTCTAAAACTTTTCGGCTGCAGGGTTAAAACTAGAGGGACCTGGCACCCAGATCACTTCATTCAGCTGAAGTGGTCTGGGTGCCTATAGTGGTCCTTTAATGTTTTCTATTTATTAATAAATATGCTTATTTTCATTTTATTACATTTATCAAATTAACCTTTTTAAAAATACACGTAAGTATTGGCAAGTTAACGTGCAGATCTATGCTAGTATATAGTAAAAAATGATTTAGTTGCACACTGTTAAAGAAAACACAATCTTGGTTAGGACTTACCATTCAATCATAAGAGGATATTTTTCCTGGGTAGTTCGTTTTGGATCAATCTCAAGAGGATAGTAGATGTTGAAAAGTTCTTTCAACTGAAAAAAAAATAAAATAACAAAAGGATTAGATGTGACACTTGGAATCGGTCATCGAGAATGTATAATCATTTTAAAATGAATTATGCTGAAAGAGATTCTCACACCAAATAGTGTAGTAGTTGTACACTGCAGGAATGCACTAAATTGTGGTATATTATATTGCAGTGTGTTGCAACAAGGGCCATGATAGTTCAAGCTGGTCCATGATGAGAAATATGGTCAAGATAAGAGATATTTGAAAACCAGTAGCCAATTTTGTGTGATGTCGGTACAATAATTCCATAAAAAAAAAAAAAATAAAAAAAAAATAAAGTAGATACACGCACAAAGGAAGAATGTGTATTGTTTGTTTGCCATATCTTCTTTGGAAGTAAATTCATTTTGGTCTATCTAGAATCTGCTGCTGCAATCCCACCCCTTCTTTCCCAGCCAATATTCTCGGTGGCTGTCCAATCACAGATGTTCCAATGTATTACAGCTCATAGAGAAGATTCCTGCAAGGTAGGTGCTCTTAGCCATTACCTGCCTCTTGAGTTTGCTCCACTGAGCTAAACTACTAGGAAATAACAGGACCGTTTGCCTGATTGCCAAAGTATTTTTCGATTTATGATTTCATTTGCAATCCTCCAAAATGTATGGTTTAGTGAATAATCCCCAAAATAAAGTGATGTTGGGTTTATGTCACAGCCATTTTAACAAAAATAAAATCAGAGCCTAAAACAAAAAAATAAAGCACATTCTGTTAGGAGTATGCGTAGAAACTGAAAACCAGCAACTGCAAAAAATAGTGACCTTTAAAATAAAAAATGAGAGGGTCCTTACACCATAACTACTTCAGCAAGCTAAGAAGGAGCTAAATACATAAGCTGTGTTAAAAAAGTCAATATGTAGGTATTACCAAAATGCAATAAGTCAAAGATGGGTGTTTCTTTAGTGTCAGCAGTCTATGGCCCAAATGCCTTCCCCCTTGCAATTTTGAAGCCACTAAATGGCCATGGAAAAATATCATGAGCCCAAACAGGGATGGCGTAAGCCTAAGGCGCCCCAGGCAGCCTCCTTATGGTCTACCAGGAGGGGGAAAACAAAGACTGCCCAATAAGGAGGACGGTCTACATCCATTTACAGACATGACTTTAGAATATATTTTATGCAAATCAAACCCTTAAACTACCGATTTCTTTGCAAGAGTAAGTTAAGCAAATTAAATTCAGGGAGTTTAAATTCTGAACTTGCTTATGAATGGTGGGAGAAAGGTAAAATCTGGGTTCTCGCTCCATTTCTTTAACCCTTCATGTATCTTTTTTTGTGAAGACAGTGAGATTGCCATATCCTCACTGCGTATACATGAAGGCATGCGAGCAAGGTGCAGCGAGGAAGATAACAAAAACAAAATCTGGATGAAAGCCTGCGCTCTATCTAAAAATGAATAGCAGTGAAATATTTATATTTTTGGTTTATTGAAAAATTGGCTGTCTATGCAACATTAGCCAACATAAAAGAGAGACAGCCATCTCCCATCTCTCACTGTATTTAAAAAGCTCCATGGAGAGAATATATTTTGTAAAAATACTCTCTTTCTCTGTACTGGATTTGTTGCAAAGATCCATAAAGTGTCAACCCTGTTTTTCAAATGATTTTCAATGGTAGCGCTGTTCATATCCAATAATCTCCAGCCCAGCATGGGTTTAAAGGGCATGTACTTCAGCAGTCCCAAGCAGTTTTATTCATAGTTGGGGGGGGGTGAGGGGAAGGAACATATTTAACGCAAGTGAAGGGACCTGAGATTTGTAACTTTTTGGTGAATGCTACAGATTTGTAAACTCCCTGATAACCTACCTTTTTCCTGCAATCTTCACTTACGATCTTGCTGTTGTCGATGATATCTGTTTAGGAGAGACGGCATAAGATGCCCAGTTTTCTCATTACCTACAACAGGTTTCAAAGCTTCACAGTAACGGCAGAATTAGACAATTGTGTACTCACTATAACAAGTAGGACATCTCTCTCCGTTATACCCGAACCGGCTCAATGTCATGTCAAAGTCAGAGATGACCTGAAAGATGACATAGTACTGTTACAGAAAGGAGGGAAACGAGCGGAATGCACATCTGGATGGAAGCATCCGACTTCTCAGTATCAAAATTAGATAAACACACAAACATGGATTTGTATTACTGATTTACCTGTGCAAAAAACAAACAAAATAAAACGGATTTGGATGGATATAAAAATATGCAGAACACACTGAAGTCAATATATGAATGCATAGTACAAAAATAGCACAAATTGAAGGCGTTTATAAAAATGACGATGAAATAAAGTCTGGTCATAACGCCAATTTATTTTTGATACCTGCAGTTTTTGCTCTCCTCCTTTCTGCAATGCCATGATAATCTCACGAACCTTTTCAGGATCCCTCATACGAACTGTAACCTTGTTTAATTCTGGGATCTAGAAGATAGAAAATTAGCTTTTCTGTCTAAAACGTAATAGGCTACAATGAACAATTAAGAGAAAATAGATCTGTTAAGCAAAATTAGAAAAACAATTCTCCAGTCAGCTAAATTTGCAGTTGGGACTATTTAGTCCTATTTGCATTATTTTTCTGACAATTTACACTTTAACCCCAAAAATATATCTTGGTGTAATTAGTGATTCATATGAAGCTTAAGAATTCTATAGTAAAGGATACACTGTTCCGCAATAGTACAGTATGTGATAGTCCCAGTTTTGAATCTGGATAAGGTGACTTTGATAGTTCTATAAGTTATTTTGTATTAGTGCACTCACACACATACTAACTACTTGTCACACACCCTATGAAAATGTATGAGAGGCTCAAATCATACATACTGGCCATTGATTCATCCTCTTGTCTCTGAAAGTTTCATTCCTAAGCTCCACTGAAGAAATGAAATCATTAGCTTGCACTTAAGTAGCCATTAAGATCTGAGAAAGGGCTGCAAACACCTTTTTGGGGGTTTACTCACCGAACAGTCCATTAAAAAAAAATAAAAAAATCTAAACTAGTCAAATTGAAAAAAAATAAAACTAATTAACAGCATTACAATATTCTCTGCTTGGCTATTTTAGTCTAAATTTAGCAATTATTTTAATCCAGTTTACTACAATTCACAATTTTGTAAATAAACACCAAGAAAAATGTCCCTGGGCTATTTAACTCATCAGCTACTTACCTTCCTCATCCTGCAAACTAATTGTTATTGTCACAGTCCTAACATATCAATAAGATAGAAAATGCCTTGCAGTATATAATCAATCCAAAAGAAGAAAGCAAGTGACAGGGAAAAAAAACTCACCACTCCTTAATTACTCAAAGATCGTTTAAAAAGAAAAAAAAAAATCACCTTTAATATCCCCAACTCACAATCTTGTACAGAAAATACAAAAAGATGTCTAAGTATGATTATTTCCCAGACCCTGGTAGATAATGTCATACACATTGCTAATTCATTAAACAAAATACAATGCAATAGATTACTCACAATCATTTCTGCTCACAATCTTGCACGATTTCAGATGTCCCAAATTCAGATATTATGGGATTTCCAAAGCAAAGCCCCACAGCCCCCCAACAATAATACAATTATTTTTATATCTCTATATTCTAAATGTCCATGTGTCTACAGAACTATAGGTCCCCCCTGATGCGCTCTGTATTTTCTTTCATGCACAGATACAATGTATCAAGGAATCACTGCTCTCACACACACACGTTGTGTAATTATGTCAAGATTCTATTCCTGCACAGGCTATGCCCTGCACTTTGTGAAGCATGAAGCCTTTACAGAACTACTTCCGGGTAACACCTGGTGACTTCCGGGTGTACAAACATACACCCTCCCAGTGTGTACAGTATTGAATCTATAGCTTACTCACCACAGGACGTTTATAGCACGTCATCCATGTGGGGTTTATCCACTAAACAGCGAGTTGTAGTGAAATATAAAAAAACTAAATTGGTCAAATTAAGGGGACAATTAATATGGAAGCATTCTCCAATTTGGCAATAGTTAAAGATTGGATATGCCAACATTGTGCAATATGGTGTTCAATTCACTACAATGCACAGTTTAGTGAATAAACCAAGTATATGTTTTAAATAAAATGCTCAAAATCTTACTCCTTTCCATGGTTTGGTGTCATATTTCCTGCACCAGGCCAATTTTATTTTGCAAAAAAAAAAAAAAAAACTAATACAGAACTCACAAATTGCATTTGTTAAAAAATAAATAATTTTTTTTTTTAAATACATTTATTTGAAAAAAGAAAATATATTTATTTTTTTAATTTTTGTAATCTTATCGCTCACAAAACAATAATATATCTGCCTCAATATAGGGTAAAGTAAGCCTACATGCTTGATACGTGACCCGATGTGCAAAGAAAATGTGCAAAACCATAAATACACACAAGTAAAATAAGAATATAAAAACAATGAGTTACTCAGTAAATATTGGGCCACCCTCCTATACAATATCACTAAATTATGAAATCATGTATTTATTTAATTAGCACAGTTCCTTATAGATTTCGTAATAGTAGTGATATGGGAATGTGTCCTACAATCATTTGAAGGGGTAGACACAACCAGTTAAATAGTCACAAAAAAAAATAATAATTAAAAAAAAATAAAGTATTTATTGATAGCCACAATAGAGACTTAGTAACTAAATGACTCTGTGTGTCTTTAAAAATGCCATCCACGTGGTTGTAGCCTTGGTTATGTAACCATTAGTTGAATATCCACAACAATCTATTGCTACAGTACCACAATTGTAAGTAGTAAAAACAATAAAAGCTTAAAAAAAAACAAAAAAAAAACGTTTATTAATCTGCCACTCTCAGGCATATGCTACAAAAATTACAAACTTGTATCATTGCAAAAGATAAATCAGCAACATAGAATTATTAGTATTCTTAAATCATATCGTTATAATGGCACCTGTCAAGAGGTGGGATATATGAGGATGCAAGTGAACAGTCCGTTCTTTAATTTTATGTTGGAAGCAAGAAAAATGGGCCACCGAATAGATCTGAGTGACTTTGACAATTGCTAAATAGTGATGGCTAGACGACTGGGTCAGAGCATCTCCACAATTGCAAATCTTGTGGGGTATTCCCGGTATGCAGTGGTTAGGACATACCAAAAGTGGTGCAAGGAACGACAACCGGTAAATTGGCGTCAGTGTTATAGGGCCCAAGGCTCTTTGATTCACGTGGGGAGCAGGGCTAGAGTGGGAAATTTGTTTTGGCATAGGCCTTTTCTGAACAGAGAGGCCCAGTGGTAGGGACAAGCACATCCATTCCAGGGCAGTCCATGCGCAGAGTCCTGCTAAAGAGCTCTTGCATGCGGAAAGAAAGCCCTGTGTAATGTGCGGCCTTGGGTTTGCTTGTGACTTGTCTCTAGTGTATCTATAAGTGTGTTACCAGAGGACAAAAGGGCCATTAGAGAGTATTGTGTATGCACTTGGTGTCTGCTTGTGGTATTGCATGTGTGCAGAGTGAGCTGTGGTGTGGTGTTTTGTGCAAATAGGTTGGTTTCAGTTGTGTTGTGCTTGTGGTGTGTGGCTTGGGGCTGTAGTATGTGTATGTATAGGCTCTGTAGTGTGTGTGTATAAGGGGACAGGGCCGCCATCAGTGGGTGACAACCATGACAGTTGTCACGGGCCCGGCGGCCCTGGGGGGCCCGGCCACCCGGGCTCCACATGTGGGGCCCATCGGGTGGCCCACACACTTAGGGCAACCCGATGGGCCCTATATCTTCAGTGGCCCGGTCAGCGCTGTGGCCGCGACCGGGCCCCTTTAAAAAAAAAAAAAGCTGCAAGTGCTGCTGGGAGGAAGTGGTCACTTCCTCCCAGCCAACTCCGCGCGGGAGGAGCCCGCGCGCCGGTGAAGAGGGAGCTGCGCCGACTCCCATCATCCCCAGCCACCCTCCTGCAAAGAAAAGGTAAGAGACAGGAGGGTGGCTGGGAAATGAGCTGTGTGTGTGTCTGTCTGTATGTATGTATGTATATGTCTGTATGTCTGTCTGTCTGCATGCATGTATGTCTGTGTGTGTATGTATGTATGTCTGTGTGTATGCATGTCTGTCTGTATGTATGTATGTCTGCCTGTATGTATATATGTATGTATGTGTATGTCTGTCTGTGTATGTATGTCTATGTATGTCTGTCTCTGTATGTATATCTGTCTGTGTATGTATGTCTGTCTCTGTATGTATATCTGTCTGTGTATGTATGTCTGTCTCTGTATGTATATCTGTCTGTATGCATGTATGTCTGTCTGTATGCATGTATGTCTGTATGCATGTCTGTATGTATGTCTGTGTGTATGTCTCTGTTTGTCTGTCTGACTGTATGCATGCATGTATGTATGTCTGTCTGTATGTATGTGTATGTCTGTATGCATGCATGTATGTCTGTATGTATGTCTATGTCATTATATATGTATGTCTGTATGTCAGTATGAATGTATGCCTGCATATCATTATGAACGTATGTCTGTGTGTATGTGTGTCTGTATGCATGTATGTCTGTCTGTCAGTATGTCTGTATATATGCATGTATGTCAGTCTGACTGTATGTATGAATGCCTGTATGCCATTATGAATGTATGTCTGTTTATGTCTGTATGCCATTATGAATGCATGTGTGTATGGATGACAGTGTCTGTATGTCTGTCAGTATGTCTGTGTGTGTGTATGTATGTATGTATGTCGGTGTCTGTATGTATGTATGTGTCTTTATGTCCTCATGCATGTGTGTCTGTATGTATGTTAGTATGTGTCAGTCTGTCACTATGTATGCCTGTGTGTATGTCTCAGTATGTATGCCTGTATGCGTGTATGTCTGTTTCAGTATGTATCTCTGTCTTTTTGTATCAGTGTGTGTGTTTGTGTCTGTGTGTGTATTCCTGTGGGCAGTATTTGGAGTCGGACCCAGTGGGCGGTATTTGGAGGCGGGCCCCAGGGGGCCCAGACCCTGAGCTGAGTTAGGGGCCCCAAAATTTCTGGTGGCGGCCCTGTAAGGGGATGTAGCGAGTGCGGAGGTTATAGAGAGTGAGTGTGTGTGTACAGGGAAACTAGTGTGTAGGGAATACACAGGATGCATAGGAGATTTACTGTGTGTCAGGAATGTTGTGTGTGTGTATAGGGGACCTGGTGTGTGCGTAGGGAGTACATAGTGTGTACATCAAGCATGTCAAACTCGCTGGCCGCATGCGGCACACAAGGACCATCGTTGCGACCCGGCGAACCGTGTGTGCATGCTCAGTGTTATAGCAGAGTAGGCACCTGCTTTCCTCATATTGCAGGTGCCTAGTCTGCTAACACTTACCTGGCCGGGGAGGATGGCCAGCGAGGGAGCTCAGTGTTCCTGCTCCTCACTGCTCCCTCGCGCGTGCCGACTGAAGTGAAGCCGGGCTCTGGAATATGACGTCATATTCCAGCACCCGGCATCACTAAACCGCGCGCGGGAGCAGTGAGGAGCAGGAAGGACCCCAGGGAGATGCCCCACATCAGCTCCAACAGGAGCAATAAAGAAAAGTAAGTGTGTGTGTGTGTGTGTGTCTGTTACCGAGTATGTGTGTGTCAGTGTGTGTGTGTCTTTCAGTGAGTATGTGTGTGTGTCAGCAAGTATGTGTGTGCCTGTCAGTGAGTATGTGTGTTTTTGTGTCTGTATGTGTGTGTCTGTCTGTCAGTGAGTATGTGTGTGTATGTGTGTCTGTCTGTCAGTGAGTGTCTGTGTGTGTGTCTGTGAGTGTCTGTGTGTGTGTCTGTGAGTATGTGTGTGTCTGTCAGTGTATCTGTATGTGTCTGTATGTGTGTCTGTGAGTGAGTGTGTGTGTGTGTCTGTATGTGTGTGTGTCTGTCTGTCAGTGTGTGTGTGTGTGTGTGTGAGTGTGCGGCCCACATAAACTTAAACCTTGTTTATGTGGCCCGTGCCACACTTTGAGTTTGACATGCTTGGTGTACATGGTATGCACTGTAACTGAAAAGAAATAGCGCCTTAATATGGTGCAGAATGTCCAGGAGCTGTTATGCCCAAAGGTGGCTTATGTGTAAACAGTTATACTGAATATCTTACAGCAGACGTCCAGATATGGCAACAGTATATGTGGTGTGTACAACTTTAAATCTGTTAGAGACAGATTCAATACGGTATACACCAAATAATCTACTTCGCTTAAGTTGTTATACAATATAGAATCACAGCATAGATGGCTTTTTTTCTATTTTACACCACGATGTAGTGACACAGTTAATCCAAGTGGGTGTCTCTTTAAATCAGCTACAAGCAGATTGACTAAATAGTGCTTGAGAATATGTTCTGCAATTGTGCAGACCAAATATTAATACTGCAGAAGATGTAATAGGAATTACATAAATTAGAAAATTAGAAAAAAACACTAAAATCTATTGTCTAATAATAAAAATTGGAGAAAAATTCTAATAATAAAAGAGTTTTAATTGCAATTCCAAAAATATATAAAAGAATATAAAAATATAAAAATATGAGTCAGGAACGGTTTGCAAAAGGGTTACCAGCAGAAGGGTAATCTTATTCTTTAAACAGTCATAAAATCTGGCTAGGATGGATGTGGATATGATGTATCAGAAATGTATCTCTGTACTTGCCGGCTGCCGTTGGGGTTGGCGTGCGTCCCAGACCTCACTCTGGGTGGTAGGTCGGTCCCCTGATTGACGGTTCTCTCTGATCAGAAGAGGAGTATTCCTTCTGCCAGTTCTGCTCTGCTCCGTATCCTGCTCATTGGTATCTGTCTGTCTAACGCGTTTCGTGGGTGTCAGCCCCACTTCATCAGAAGAGGAGTATTCCTTCTGCCGGTTCTGCTCTGCTCCGTACCCTGCTCACTGGTATCTGTCTAACGCGTTTCGTGGGGGTCAGCCCCACTTCATCAGAGACGTCTCTGATGAAGTGGGGCTGACAACCACGAAACGCGTTAGACAGACAGATACCAGTGAGCAGGGTACGGAGCAGAGCAGAACCGGCAGAAGGAATACTCCTCTTCTGATGAAGTGGGGCTGACACCCACGAAACGCGTTAGACAGACAGATACCAGTGAGCAGGATACGGAGCAGAGCAGAACCGGCAGAAGGAATACTCCTCTTCTGATCAGAGAGAACCGTCAATCAGGGGACCGACCTACCAAAGATGCCATAGTGTAAGGAAAACGAGTGTTTTTTTCCTTACACTATAGTGATCCTTTAAGCTAAAGTTGCTTTGATGCCTCTAGTAGTGTAATTATATATGGATGCGAGTTGATACATTCTTTCACACAGCATAGTTCTTATCAGGGCCGGACTGGGAAAAAAATTAGGCCCGGGCATTTTTCAAACAGAGCGGCCCCCTAAGAAGGGGCGGGGCCAGAGAGTGTGTGTTTTGTCATCACTAATGACAACACGCCCCCTCTCAAAGTGAGCATGTTGGTTCAATGCCCAGAGCCCTGCTGAAGAGCTCTGGCATTAGAAAAAGGCCCTGAATTTGTTCTGCGCAGCGCAAGCAAATGAAATAACATGCTTGTGCTGTGTTTGCTTTTAAATTGTCCCTGGTGTCTCCACAAGTGGGATACCAGAGGACAAATGGAAAGTGCATGGTGCATGTGTTTGGAGCCTGCTTGTGGGATTGCGTGTGTGTAGAGTGTGGTGTGGTATTGTGTAGGTCAATTTAATTTGTGTTTGTGGTGTAATATGTGTGGCTAGGGGCTGTAGAGAGTGTGTGTATAGGGGGCATAGTTTTATAGGGGATGCAGCGAGTGTGTGCATACGGGCTGAAGTGTGTGTGTATAGGTGGCGTAGTGTGTGTAGGGGTTGCAGAGAGGGTGTGTTTAGAGAATGTTGTATGTGTTTGCTGACAAGGAATGTAGTGTGTGTGTGTGTGTAGGAGATCTACTGTGTAAAGGACCCAGTGTGTGTGTGTATAGAGGATAAAGAGTGCATATAGAGTAAGGGATCTAGTGTGTATCTGGAGCGTAATGTGTGTAGTGGTGCAGTGTGAGGGGTGCTGTAGTGTGTGTGTATGTATATATATATTTGGACTTATTGTATGTGTGAGGGGCGCAGTGTGTGTATGTAAGAGGGGTGCTTTGTGTGAGGGTGTTTTTATCTGCTGTCACATTCTAGGTTTCTAATTTTCTTTGTCTGTTAACTCACTGAGGGTTATTTTATATATATATATATGTGTGTGCTGTATATGTGTGGGAGTGTGCTGTGTGTGTCTGGGTGCTGTGTGTGTATGGGGGGTGCTGTGTGTGTCTGGGTGCACTGTGTGAGTCTGGGTGCGCTGTGTGTGTCTGGGTGCGCTGTGTGAGTCTGGGTGCGCTGTG